GTCCTGAGGGTAATGCTGTACCAAATTTCCATGAAACTTTATTTTCTCTCTGCTGGGAACTGCCTACAGAAATCTCCTTCCACTTCCTCATCTTACTGTTGATTCCTGTGCTATATACCTGACACCTGGGGAAGGTTTTTGGTGAAATGTGGTTTTGGTGGCAAAGCCATTCAGCGTAGCTTGCTGATACTGGAGTTTGGGTGTTTGATATGTAACAGGTGATGTCTTCATCTTGTGTTGTCATGCCACAGACATCAAGTGGTTGACATGCATGTATGGCCCAACCCTTAAGCTCCTTGGGAAAAACTAGCCGTAGGGAAGAAGATGGCTCTTTTTAACTCTTAGCCCCACTGAAAACAAGATAATACATTCCAGGGTAATAAACTCCTACACTGTGGGAAGAGGTTCCTGAAGATACTAGATAATGCAGCTAAAATATTTCTGCTACTAGCTCTTATTGTCTGATGGGACAATAGAAATAATATAGACCAAACAGTAAACAAAGTGGTGTTTTTATCAGATTAAGCAGTAGTACTTAATTTGTGGTACCATAGATTGTTTTGGACTCTGGCTTCCAAAATGCCCTTTATTGGTGGCCAAGATGGCTACAGTTTGTGGGACCTGAGCTGCCCAGAGGACCAAAGTTTGAGGACCAGTGGCTTAAATGACAGAATGGAAATAGCTGAGACTGAAGAGCACAGGCATTTTTGTACCATATGCAATTTGTTTTTGGCTGAACGTACTGGGAAGGGCTAGAGCAGGGTCATCAAACTTTTTAAGCAGAAGGATGGTTCACAGTGCCTCATAATATTGCAAGGCATGAATGAATTCCTATGCACAGTGCACATGTATTATTTGTAGTGCAAAAAAAAAACATGAAAGAAGAATACAATATTTAAAATGAAGAATAATTTTAGTCAACATAAACTTACCAGTATTTCATTGGGAAGTGCGGGCCTGCTTTTGGCTGTCATATTAATTATGATTGTTGTTGTTCGCCTTCCAAGTCTCTAAATCTAAAGTTTAGGGTGGGGGCCAGGTAAATGACTTTAGAAGACCGCATCTGGCCTACAGACCTTTGTTTGGGAACCCTTAGGCTAGAGTCTGCCTTTTCTTTTCCTCTCCCTTCTTCTGAATTAATGATATTGAAGACTGCTTCTGCAATTTGAGTTCAGTTTTCAGCAACTTAGGACAAAGGGGTAAACAGGTACGAAAAAATGGAACATTTTAAAAGCAGTTGAGAAAGTGGGATGACAGAGAATCAAGTTGGACAGACTCTGCCAAATTTGCAATTTGTAGGGTTGGTGCAATTTGTCTCTTGGTGTAAAGCACTACTTCTGTACCAGTATGGTTTTGAAGTACTAAACATTGGATTACTCAGGTAATAACAGTCTTGTCCATAGTGACAAGCCAAATGCTATGTGTGGCTGTATATGTTTGTGTGAGAGCTAGGATGGATTTGTAATCTTTTCATCTATCTTCTTATCAGTGCGACGTTACAGAGCCCTTAACCAGAGCAGTTTTTCATTGCTGAAGAGTGTCATCTGACATCCTCGCCCATTTCAGTTTCTGCCAACTAGTTTATGAAAAGAGAGTGAACTTCTAACACAGAGGTGGGACTCATTCAACTCTCTTGATGTTCTTGAGCTACAGTTCCCAAAAGCGTTGCTTAGTCAGCATTGCTGGGAGTTGCAGTCCAACCACATAGGGAGACCCACATAATTCCAACCCATGAGCTAACTCAAGCAGATTCCACTTGATATAAAGGAATTTGATCTTTCAAAAAAAAAAAGAGGTTGTTGCCCGAAGAGACGGGAAAAAAAGAGTTCTTCTTTTATCAGAGCTCTGCAGGGAAGGCCCAGACAATGGAACGTAGTCATGGTCACAGTGACCTACTGGAATGCTTTCTAAATGCCAGACTCAGGTGTGGAGTCTCAAATACCTGGCACTGGAACAGCAACATTGTGCACAGGGCTGTGTGTGGTGCATACTTTTACAATGAGTAATTCTATTATGCTACTTTGGTAATGAGACTGAAGAGGCCTTGGTGTTACATTTTTGTTACACCATTGTTGGCCTACTACTGTGTGCAGCTTCTCTCCCTGGTGCATACTGTAGTAAGCAGGACTGTATTATAGCATACGTCATCTCTGACTGGCCAGGGAAGAGCTAATTCTCAGATTCCCAGTTGTATGTACATGGCCAAATGCTATTCATGTGCAGCTGCTCATCACCCTCTTGATGCTTTGCCCAGACATCTTTGCAACTTTTTCTAGCTGTGAAAATTGCATAAGGAGGCCATAGGATGTTGAGGTAGAAATTAATTAGACTGCCTCCTCCAGTTGCTTTTTTTCAAGATAAGGCAATGCCTCTGATCTAGTTTGCTTTTCATGGCATGCTGTACCCATTTGGACAGGGCTAGATAAAAGGTGTGTGTGTAATTACCAAATCCGGGACAGGATGTTTGCTGTGCCTCTCAACTGGGTTATTCATTATGACTCATTTTATATGTGGTCTCTTCACCACAATGAGTACTATAGTTTCTTATCCCATTGTTGATATATAGTGGTGCATCAGTGGTGCATTTTCTCTCCATTTGGGTGAACCACTGTGATGCAATAATTTGAGCATTGGACTACAACTCTGAAGACCAGAGTTCAAATCCCTGCTTAGCTATTGAAGTCAATGGCCTCTCAGTTTCAGAAGGAAGCTAAGACAATTCTCTTTTGACAAATCTTGCCAAGAAAACTCTTTGATACATTTACCTTAGGGTTGACATAAGTCAGAAATGACTTGAAGGCACACAATATTTATTTTGCTGGGCCTCCTGTACATGGTTCTTGCGTTCCTGCTGCAGTGACTTTCATTCCCCACTACTCTATAACCCCCTGCCCTTTTCTTTTGAAAGCCTTTGATAACTTTTTCCTTTGTGACTACAACCAGGTTGCCAATCTATTGGAAACAATACTGTAAGGACATGATTTCCCTAAGGGCAATCTATTAGAGGTAGTACCCTAAGAGTAGTGATGTCCTAAGGATAGTATAATACACCCCTTTGAGCCCATCATGGCCTCACAGGGCTGTTCTACACTGTCCACTTAAGTCCATTTAGAACTGGTTTGACTGTGCATATGATTAGATAAACATTTCTTGGACATGTTTGAGACCAGGATTATGATTACATTAACCACAGAAGGTGGCCTCAAACAACTGCTGGAGGATCCTTCCCCCCCCCCCCCCATTTCTTTGCCGAGATGTGCTCCAGTGCTGTGGAGGGATATGAGAATGGGAGAAAAGGGAAAGTGACAGCAGTGGAGATAATTACCTGCCCCCCCTTACCCCATGTTACAAATTTTAGAAAGTGCTATAGTGCAGGTGGGTGTTTATGATGCACTTCACATTCTGTGGAGCTCATTTCAACATGGATTATATTTAAGGCTCACTGGCGCACATTAAAATACAGTAGAGTACAGTAGTTGGATAAGTGAGATTCTACTGTACTTATTTTGAACTTTGCTCAATACACTTTAGTCCCTTAAACCATACAGCAGCTCACTTTAGTCACATGCATTTTGTGGTGGCCAGTTTGAAACTAGCTAGCTAGTTTCACACTGCATTACATGATCAGTGTAGATTAGGGCTGGGCAACCACGGAAAAATTTGTTTCTAAACTCGATTCGTTTTTTGGGGGTTTTTGCGTTTCGATATTTAAAAGAATTCTGAAATTTTTCTTTAAAAAAGTTCGATATTTACGAAATTTCGTAAATTACGAAACAATTACAAAACTATTTCGAAACGAATACGAATCGATTCGTTGATGGCGGACGCGACCGCGCAATACGCTAAAAAACCTCCATATGGGACAGGGGGAACTTTTGAAGCTTCCCTCTCCCTCTGTTGTTGACTGTTGGTGTGATATTTATAATTTTTTTTCACTGATTAAACAAACAACAGCTATAAAACTTGCCCAGACATGCGGAAATAATAACGAAACGATTTCGAAACGAATACGAAACGAATACGAAGCAATTACGAAACGAATTGAAAAATTCGTTTCGTTTTTTAGATGCTCCTGAATGGTTCAAAATCGCTTCGTTATCAAAAAAAATAACAAATTTTTAACAAATTACGAAATTACGAAACGAAACCGCCCAGCCCTAGTGTAGATGTGTCCTAGATTTCTAGAGTCTCCTGGCTAGACCAAAGTTTCAGAGGCTATGTTTTCCAAGCTTCTGTTCCAGCAGAAGCCTAGTCACTTTTGTCTTTCCCCCTCCAATTTAACACCCGTTTTCAGAGACTGAATGCTACAGGGTGGTCCTTATGTAGGTGTTTGTTTAGGATGGAATATTTGACTGTCTTAGGAAAGCACACCATAACTCTTTTTGGAAACCACTTTTCCAGAGGCTAAAAACATCAATTTTTCTACCCACCAGAAGCAACTGTACATTGGTAGGTGTGAATGTTACCTGCTGAATGCAGATTTCACTGCTGATAACCGATTTCTACTACCGTGTCATTAGACTGTGAAAAATCTTTATAGCCATTAAGGTTTTTACATTTGCTAATAATTTTTATCAGGCTTGCCCTTAGGATCATTTATGATACTGATGAAATCAGTGATGGCACACAAGCCTAGAATGGGTACAGAATTTCTTTTATAATGGAGGCAGAGAGTGCAAAGTGTTTCTCTTTCCCCAAAATCATATGTAGTAACATGCTGGATTGCAAAAGTTGCAGTGCAGGATTCACGGCATTCCACTTTCTTCCCTGCCCTTAAGAGAATGTCTGTGCTTTGCAGATAATCGCCTGAATACATTTCCCAGGCTGAAGATGGCAAGATAATTGGAGTGTTTGGGTTTTTAGCAAGGTTTACCTCTTGGATTCCTATATCAGGCTCCCAAGGAGGCCTCATAATTTCATGCTATACCTGTTTTATTGAATCTTTTTAACAGTTGCCGAAAACATGTTTACCAAGCTTGTTCTGTTGTTTCTGTCAACAGAAACCTAGGAAGATTATTTCACAAGGAGGAGAAGACGCTCAAAATGGCCACCTCCCACCTGGTTGGCAAAGTTACATGTCTCCCCAGGGCCGAAGGTACTACGTGAACACTTTTACTAATGGTAAGCATAGTTTATGTGGTTCTTTTATCCATTTGGAAGTGTACGCTTTTCCTTGTGTCCCTTTAAAAAATAGAAGTAGATTACAATTTTTCAGTGATGAATCCCAAAGTAATATTACTGTCAAGTAAAAATTGGGAAGGTAAAGCATCATATAAAATGGAGGGATAGGAAAGCATCTTGTTCTGCTCATAAATCCGTTGAACTACTTGACTTTAGCTTTGAGAAATAAGCAGTGTAGTTATCTCCTTCCTGAAGGCTTCCTAAACCAAACCCTGCCCATTCCAGTCCCTTCTGGAAAGAGACCTTCCTTCATACCCTGGGGAATACAGGCTACCAAACACTATGTTTTGTCCATTAGATCCTGCTGTGAGTCTTGGTTCTTTTCCCATTCCTGTCAAAAGATGGGGCCGTGTGAGGTTGCTCTCTCATGGTTTCTGCTATACCTTCCTCATAGTATGATTATTGGGGGGGGGGGGGGGGGGGAGATTCAGTCCAATCAGGAGGTCATAGTGGTGGTAGTTCATGAGTTATTTCAAGTTCATCCCAGCTTGCTGTACTAAGTGATTTCAACGACAAGCTCATATTTTTAGCTTGTTCCTTTTTGATTTTGTGCCCCATTCCTGAGTAAAACTCCAAATAACATTGTAACTGAATAACCATGAAAGCATCAATCAGTATAATTAAAGCTGTGTATCCTTAGAGCATAAAATAATCAAAATGTTGTGCCACTGTAACCAGAGTGGGCCATGTGTTTAAGTGGCCTGTCAAACAATTTGACATCTATCCAGTTGCTCGTTCTGATTCCAGCCCATTTCATGCTTGGATTTCTTGGATTTCCACTTTGCTCTCAAGTGACCGGCCTTAAATTGGATTCCATGGAACAAAAAGTTCAGTTTTATTCAGGAGGAAAACCCCAGGGAGTGCGCGTTCTTAAAAGTTCAGAAAGTTCTAAGCAAAATGAACATCAGCTTGAAACAGCAGCTGCTTTATTGCTGGTAAGTCAGCACATGAAGCTCTACTTGAGCGGTTATTGAACTATGGTGGGCAGAACTTAAAAGCAGGCTGCCATTGTGCTGGTTTTTATAAATCCCTCCTTTGGTTTACAGTTGATCGGTATTCACCTGCCTTAGTTCTTCACAAGCACAGAGTTAAATGTGCTACAAAAATTACGATGGTTCATTTGCCCCTGGGGGCTCAATGGGTTAAACCCTTGTGCTGGCGGGATTGAAGACTGACAGGTCGCAGGTTCAAATCCAGGGAGAGCACGGATTAACTCCCCCTGTCAGCTGCAGCTCCCCATTCAAAGACATGAGAAAAGCCTCCCACAAGAAAGGTAAAACATCAAAAAAAATTCAGGCGTTCCCTGGGCAACATCTTTGCAGATGGCCAATTCTCTCACACCAACAGCAACTTGCAGTTTCTCAAGTCGCTCCTGACATGAAATTTTTTTTACAGACGATGGGAGAAAACTGGGGTCTTGTTTGCTATACAAATCAAGACAGAGAACTAAACAAAAAGATAGGACCAAAATGAGGCATGCAGATTTTTAAGTTGTATAAACCATTGCGGCTGTAGTCATGGTGCTAAAGCATTGTTGTTGAGAGGCATGTTCCACATACCAGTCACACATTTGTTTTCCTCTTTCTTCACTAAACTCACTTTTTGACAGATATAGAGTCTGTGTCTGAATTCCTACTGTTTGAAGAGTTGTGCATCTTCTCTGCATGTAACTAATTTTTATCTCAATCTCACAGTTTTCCAAGGGAGATATTGAATTGCAGTGTGTTTTTCCTCCTTCTGGATTCTTTTTGGGAGGGAGATCAAAATTGGGCCTGTGCCTCACTTGTGGAACTAAAATGATAGTTGAATTTGTATACCTGCTTTTACCCCACTATCTCTACATCCAAGGCAGACGTCACAATAAAAGATAGTTTGCATTTTCTTTTCATTCAAAATAGATGTCATGATTGAATTGCTCCAGACACAGAACATTATCCAGAACTTGTGTTCCAGATTTCATTCTGATATCTCACTGAAAGTCTTCATATATCAGATTAGCAAAATTTCAGGCAACTTCACTCCCGTTTTAGTTTGACTGAAAACAGGACTTAAAGCACTAGGGGGAAGCACTGGGCTTTGCTTTGAAAACCTTGAGTGCTTTGAAGCCCTTGGGACTGTGTTGAAACTACATGATATTGTCACATCCTTATTCTAAACTGTGTTTTTCTTGCTGTATTTTTTATGTGAACCTGAGAGTTAGAATATTACTCTGGAGACCAGGGTTCAAATAGCCATCTAGCCATGAATGACAACTGAGTGACCTTAGAGAAGTCACATTCTCTCAGCTTCAGAGGAAGGCAAAAGCACCATGAAAACCCTAAAATAGATTTGCTTTAGAATCGCTGTAAACCAGAAACAACTTGAAGGCACACAATAGCATCTCTCTGTGTCAACATATTTTCAATTATTTTATATTGGAGATTGTAGTGTAGTCGTTTGAGTGTTGAACTAGAACATAGGGAGCTCTGGGTTCAAATGTCTGCTTAGCCATGGAAACCCATTAGGGGATCTTAAATTATTCATACTCTCTCAGTCCCCTTCTGCATTTCCATATAATCCAGATTATCAAAGTAGATAATTCACATTACTGTTTTGAATTGGATTATAGAAGTCTATACCTCCATACAATCCAGTTCAAAGTAGGTAAAATGCCTAGCATTTTAACATTTTTAATCATTACATTTGGCCCGGCCTTAGTTTTAAATGTGTCATATTGTCTAATGTTTATTGCTATTGTTTTAATGTTTATTGCTTGTTTTATGAGTTTATTTATTGTTGTATTTTGTTATGCTGTTGTTTTATTGATGTGTTGGGCCTCGACCTCTTCTAAGCCACACCGAGTCCTTCAGGAGATGTTAGCAGGGTATAAATAAAGGTTTATTATTATTATTATTATTATTATTATTATTATTATTATTATTATTTTATGTGGCAATGTAGAAAGGGTCTCAGTCATAGAATAGGGTCGTGGTAAACTCCCTCTGAAGAAATCTTACCCAGAAAACTTTTCCTTTAGGGTCACAATAAGTCAAAAATGACTTGAAGGCACATAGCAACAATAAGTCTGTGGAAACATATAAAGAATTTAATTTATTTAGTATTGGATAATTTTAAACTGCTTTTCAATTAAGCAAAGATATTAAGTGCCAAATTTGGAAATAAACTGGAAGCCCCTAGAATTTGCAATGAGATGTACAAGCTAACCGTAACTGAAATTAAAGTGAATGTTGAGAGGAAAGTATTTACTTTTCACCTGAATTCTGTAAAGGAGGGAACAAGTTAATCGGATGGAAGTTGCACAGTTTGAGGTGTCTGTTAGGGAATCCTTTGTGCACAAGGACGCCTTTCTGTTTGTGGAAAATAAATAAGACAATAATGCAGACCAAAATATCTCTAACCCCAAAGAATTGTGAGGCCAGTAAAGAACACAGTGTACTGTTGTCTTGAAATAAGGAAAGTTGATGGGGCTGAGATTCATGACTAGAGATGCAATTTTGAAATATGGCCTGTTCCTTAAAATAGAGGACATTGAGAAATATTGGGTTCCCCACTTTCTCATGCATGAAGTCTGTAATATCTCATGTGTAATTTCGCCATCATCTTGCTGACGCAAAAAAGATTTTGTTTTTGTGGCTTAGATGAATTTTCATCAAATATGAAGTGCCTGACTAATGCATACCAATTTACAAAAATACATGTTGCATGCAAGCAGAATTTCTCTGTGTTGCAAAAGGATATGTGCACACAATCTTCGTCCTGCCTCCTGGTTATGACTAGGTTTTCTTGCTGTGTTTTGGAACTGACACCTCACAGTGAGAATGTTTGCTTCATGTTGTGCCCATAGCAACTGCTCCCATTTTCCAAATGTGTGACTGTGAAGTGTCCAGGATTGCCTTCCAAATAGATAGGAATGAGAAGGCTATTTTAGTCAGGTTTTGAAAGACAATATTTTATTTATATGAATAGTAAAGCACCCTTTCTAATTAATAGTTTAGCTTGCATTATTCTAACGTATCTTTCTCACCAACTCATTGCATTTAATTAAAGTGACAGAAGGATTGTGGTATTATTAATACAGTGGATGGCTTCCCCCCCCCCCCCAACTTCCAGATCCAGATATATGGTCAAAAATACATAATCATAATAACAACAACTTTATAATTCACCCTCTCTCCCCAAAGGGACTCAGAGCGGCTTACAAAGACAAAAACAAAATAGAGATAAATAGCAGTAAAATAACAAGTAAAATAACTTAATTTTTGTACCCCATCTCCATCTCCGCAAAGGGATTCGGCACAGCTTACATGGGGCCAAGCCCAACAGAGCAGTTAAAATGTAACACATTAAAATGCATATCAACAAAATGATAACAAAAACAATATGATGAAATAAAACAACAACATTAAACAGTATATAATACAAGCATCAAACCAACAACCAATAGCAACCATTAAATTCTTAAAACAAATAATAGGTTTCATTAGTAACATAGTGAATGAATAAAACCAGCATGGAAACTGAACAATAAAAACATGGCTGTACAGTGAATTAGGGCAATATGTTCTCAGTCAACCTTAACTGGCAGAATAGAAGTATAAGCAGTTAATAAAAGCTAGTTGTCCTTGTCTCTGAAGGCCAGTGTACAGAGGTGTATTCTTAATTGCTTCTTGAAGGAGAGAAGTGAGGAAGCTGTTCTTAGTTCCGGAGGGAGGGAGGGAGTTCTAGAGGGCGGAGGCAGTCATGGAGAAGGCCTTCTCTCTTGATCCCAAACAACTCAGTTTGAGTCAGAGGTGGGAGCGACTCAGGGCCCCACTGATAACCGCAGTGTCCATGTAGGTTTGTATGCAGAGATGCAGTTAGTTAAGTAGCCTGGACCTGAATCGTTTGTATTTTGATGACAGTGCTAACTGTATAGGACATAGAACCCCACAAAAGTGAAA